TTATGATTCAGAGAAAACAATCTTTCAAGATTTTAACCAAACAAAATGTTTTGCAGACTCTCTTAAATTCTTATCAATTATTTCATCTTTCTAAATTTTAATATTATGATATTGGATTGGATTACTTAATTATGCCAAAGCACACGAGGGCTATCTGCCTAAAGTGAGGGATGCCTTCGTGGAGGACGTTCTAAGGGAAACTGGCTCGTATACACGTTACACATGGGGAAAACCACGAAAACGCCCATGCGGCCAGCCCGTTCACGGGATTCGAACCTCGGACCGAACTACCAGTGTTCAGCGGCTTTACCGCTCGGCCGCCGGTGGGCCTATTATGATACTGAATCCTGAAAGAATCGTATTGAAAACGAGTAGATTATTGCATCTCCTCAAGCAGTGAAATAGACTAAACGATTGCGACTTTTCAAAGAATATATATTCATTATGGTACATTTTGAGCCTGTATCTGAATTTGAGGCTTCACTTGAAATTAAAATAAGAAGAATATTTTTACAGGCAAAAAGAAAAATTAGTCTCGAAATGGGATTTTGCTTCAGATCACATTCGCGTCTGTTCCCATTTGGATAAACTGTAAGATCTTTGAAAATTTATTCATTTTAATTGATATTCATTCTAATTTCATTTTATGTTGTGGATTGACAAACTTAACCACATTCCGGATCAAAAAATAAGCAACAGAGACAAAACAAGGAAAAAATAAAAACTATTTCATGGATATGTGCGAAATGGATTCAAGAGTTTGGTGTGGCGTTACTAGACCATATAGCAAACAATAAATCAAAGACATACAAAAACACATGTATTACGAAAAACACATATATTACGACCTTCACATCCCGAAAGACCAAATGGGTCGGAAGAATGTGCAATGGAAACATCCCGTTAATAACAGATACGATACCCTATAGCTTGACACCGGCAAGCCAAGTTGGCAACAGTGTCGCCGATCGCTAGTTGTGGCATTAGCGCCCATTCCTGTAGTAATGCATGTCGATACGTAGCCGCACACTGCGACCTGCTGTCTATTGTCCCAACATGTCCCACACATGATGTGTGGGACTCTCCGGTGATCTAGCAGGTCAAGGCGGCAGCGATAAAAGGGCGCAAAAGAAGGTGCAGAATTTCGTCGCGGTTTCGGACTTCTATGACGGAACCGCCAAAAATCACGTAAAGGTCAGTGCAGCCGTTCGTTCCTATCCCAGTCCATACTATCCCAGTCCTTCTCCTCTGCAATGGTCTCTTTCGACGATGTTTACCGCCCGATAGCGTGTCCCTGATTCTCGCTATATCATTACTCTTAGAGAAGCTTTCTGGAAGTTAAATGGGGACTCGTTCTTAAAGAGTACACCAGCTGCGCTGTACACTTGCCCAATTCAACCGCACCCCCTCATGCGATGAGAACAAAAGAACACAAACCACAGGTCGTCGAGTGTACAGTCCACCTTCATGCAGCCGGCGCGACACAATTTGGCGGGTTATGAGCCTTCCTACAGCAGCACAGATTCGACGCCATCTGTTGTGCTATTAGTGATCTACAGCGTACTGCACATAGCAGCAGGAAGCGATCATCTGCCGTAGGTTGTAATCCTCCGGAACTCCCACAACTTCTACAAGAGTTTTGATTCCTTTGATAACGATTATACGGCCTGTTGATTATGATATTACGATGCGTATTGAGTTCTCTCTCAACAGCAGATTGTCTTCACCAGTTTGCAACATTTCTACTGCCCTCCAAGGCACTTTCGTCGTGCAAATGGTGTCTCCTGCTCATACTCTCCGATTTGGCTGTCTCGGATTACGCGGAACTATCGCTGTTTGCGAATTGAAGCGTAGGTCCGTAGTGCACTTTTTTAAACCTCTAAGCGGCAAGGGCGTATATATACGGCCTAGAATATTTTTTGTGATATCTGTAAGAACGTATTTATACGTGCATATTAAAATATGTCAAAGTAATTAAGGCATTATATCAAAAGAAAACAAATCCAGGTATGAAATACCAGGAGAGGTTTTACAATAAAATCAAAAAAATAATTTGTTCTCATAGCAGTTTTGGGACATTTGTGCTTCCTTAGCCAAAATCCTAACCGCTGATAGGGTAGGCATGGTGATGTGACCGCGAGATGCTAGTTTTGGTTGTCTGTTTGCATTCGGCAATGCAACTTGTGCCTCACATGTAAACAGTATGTTTTAACTCTCCTTTCTGCATTCGTACCTCTTCCCTCAGTTTTGTTCCTCAGTTCAGTCCCTTTTGTTCAGCAAAAGGGTATCTGAAAACAATGGAAGCAGTTCTTAAAAATATTCCTTTCTTACTTTTGAATCAGACTGATATAAATAATAAAATACATTTAATTCATGATTTACGTGATTCAATACATTCAGCATTTTCATCGAAGGACATTATATATACTTTTTATTATTTATTTCATATTTTGTAAAATTTTTAAGAAATTCAACAATTTGAAAGCAAGCAGCGGCAATACAGCACGAAATAAAACAATTTTTTTTATCTCTGCCGCGCTAGACTGTCTATCGGAAAGTCTAGAGATACGCTATCTTTAAATATTTTGTGATTTTACTGTTGAATTGAATTTCATGTGGCGTAAGGTCCAAGAATGTGATATTTAATAAAAATGCACATAATGTTAAAAATAAAAAGACGAAAAAGGTTTTGTAAGCCATCTTCCAAGAAACTGATACGGTGAAAAGATTGAAAACAAAATTAAAAAGACAAAAAAAGGGGGCGTTAGCAGAAGTGAGTGCAAACGCAAACTGGCAACTGCGAGCTGAGCGAGGGAGTAAGAAACCTAAACAAACTCTTTCAGACCTTTTTCATTTATTTATCTTTTATAAAGAAATTTGTTCTAATCAACTAAAGACATTATTTAGTAGTTCATTTTTAAAACACAAATCGGTTAATTATAACACAGCACAAGCGTGGTCTCTTTCGCTACGAGAAAGTCGCAAATAGTTAAGAAGCGAGCAGACCGACCACTTAACTTGGAATATACAGTGGAACTCCAATTATCCGAGTCCACTGGGATCGGACCTTAGTCGGATAATCAAAAACTCGAATAACCGGATTGTTTAATTAGTTAAAATGAAAAGCCAACACTTTTTACGTACATGTTATGCAGTGTACTGTACTTGTAAGTGCTGAAAGTCATTGCTTGCTGAGCACATGGGTCTGTTTGACGGACACCGTGCCTGCACTTAAAAGTTCTTAGCCAGCCGTTACTTGCTTTAAAGGATTTACAGCTAAGATTTTAGCTTTTTCACAAAGAATCGGACCCTAAATTGGATTTCCCATAGAACGTCGCTTCAAAAGCCGCTTGAAAACGACATCTTCTATATTTTTGTTTGTTGCTGCCTTCATTGATTTTCTTGAAGAACTTCCATCTTCGTTTTCAAGCAGTGCCACGAAGTTTAAAAGTGTAAGCTTGCTCCTTTGAATGTCCGAAATCGTTAATGTTCCAACACTACGGTTTTATCGTAATTTTTTTCTTATGTTCTGAAACCGATTCGGATAGTCGGAGTTCGTATAATTGGAGTTGTACTGTACTTTGGGCGAAATAGCCCGTAACCGAAAACACGTTTTGCTTATCTTCAAGTAATGTTAGCAAAAGTCTTCAGAGACTTTAAATCGTTTGAAAACTTTAGCATAATAAAAGCTTAAAAGAAAAGGGAAAAAAATAATTCTTAGCCACACCAAAACGGATCTCCGTAACAAAAAAAGAGTTACATCTTTACTGGAAGCATTTTCTTTTAATCTTTATTATTATTACCATCATTATCATTAACTTGAAATCAATCTCAAATTCTAAGCATTTCGAAGAAAAATTTATCGTTTATTGAAAAGATTTTACGTTAAATGCATTAAAAAGTTCAAAAATATAAAATTTACTCATACTTTGCATTTTTTTGTAAGTTAAAAAAAGCAAAGTTAAAAAAGGTTAAACTCATTCGGAAATAGCGCTGTTAGTGAAGGTTCCATTCAGCTATCGCCTGGAAAATATCAGATGGCCTTTTCTCGCTTCGCGAGTGGCTATATTAGTGCATTCACATTTCATCAAGAATAGATCTTTCCCGAGAGCCATTGGTGTAAGTCTGACATGGTCAACCCGGCCCATATTTTAGCTTGCTTGGATTTTAAAAAAGACGTGGTCCTTCGGGAGCCTCTTTTGTTTTTTGACTTATTAGATATTTTGCATTTATGGAATCTATTTTCTATAATAATTTAGTGAACAGTATTCTTTTTAATGCGACTGAAAGAAGAAGAAATTCATTCTATAGCTTTAGCCATTGACGCAGATCACGTTAGGTTTGGTGCTCAACGATACATTTCCGTGTAATTTGCATGTTCACAAATGTTGTAACGAATAACTGAGTCACAACTGAAACTAGAATATGACCCGCACCTTATAAAGTTATAATTTGTTCGAGGGATCAAAATTCCTGTGTTCGATTTCTTAGGGGATGCAGTTCAATCATAATTAGTCCGGACAGAACCGGTATGGAACCGTAATGGGAGGGAATAAATCTAATCGTAAATTAATACGGTAACAGATATATATATATATATATATATATAATATATATAATATGCATGCGGTTAATGAAATTTTACAGTAAATCGTTTACGATTCTTTTCTGCTCTTTTTTTTTTTTTTTTTTCTTTTTTTTCAAACATCATTTAAGTAGATTAAAATCAGCATATACCACCATCAAGGTGATTAAAACACATCCTCACGAATGATAAAAGAAACTTCTCGCACATTCCTTTTTTATAAGGATGTTTTTAGTCATTATTCCACGATTTGACCCCTTGCAGAAGTAAACACTTCTCGCTTATCTGTATTCATTTATTCATTAGACTGCTTCGGTAGGTGAAATTGTTGCGAATGTCATTACATTTATATTCAATTTTAAGCGAGTCTTTTTCTTATCTGTCCATACAATTAATCTAGTTCTTTTAATTTCAGAGAAATTCCAGATCAGATGATTGTGAGAAATGATGACGAGTCACAACGTTACGCTGACGCTGTGGATTCTAGTCACCGCCGTCCTTCTTCAGAATGGTAAGTACCTCATTTCGATACTTTTGATGCAAACGAAGTCAGTTTCTTCGAGGAATTTTTTTTTTTCGACGAAGAAAATTAATTCAGTTCCCGTTCTCAGTGAAAATTTAAACTACAAGAAATATAAAAATCTGATGTCTACACCACATGACTTCCTCACACGGAATATTAAATTATACGCATTTTGTCTTGCATATCATTTAAACTTATTGGATTCAATTAAATCTACTTCGTCGATAGCGCATAAACCACAATAGAATAAAATGCACTCTTTAAAATTCACTATATTTGTTTACCACAGCGACACTCCGGCGCTACGCTGACTTAACAGCGTTACATTTGGTTCATATTATAACTCAGAATGCATATAAATTTATATCATTTGAAGAATTATCTAATCGCTGCCACATGTTTTATTCAAATATGATAAATCTAAAAAGATGTATAAAAGAAATTAAGCAAACAAAACCAAAAAAGAAATTTTTTTTCACAGACGATTCAGTATTTCTCATTCAATTAATTCAGTTCAGCGACAAGGCAAAAATACACAAAAACTCAAAATATCTATATTAAAAATTACGAAGTAAATCTGAAACACTTATTTCCTCGAATAAATTCCAGAATAGATTAAGCAAGATTTAATTCGCAATAATAAAAGAAGGCGTTATCTTTGTTGTTGCGAAGCTTAGTTTCTCTAGATTGACAACAAATTACTATTTTTCTAAGTTTTAACTGTAAACAAACATGGCCGCCAAGGCAAAAATAATTAGGTGAATAATATTATCATTCGCGGTATTACAGCTTTTCCTATATATATTGTTGCGTGCATACAGGTTCGTAATAGATTAAATGCACGCAGAATTGACAATAGCTTGATAAATTTATTTCAAAAAAAAAAAAAAAAAACTTCACAGTTATGGAACTTTCCACAGATATAGTCCTGCAACTCTTCACACTATCACAATCAATAGGTAACTTTAAACTACTAAGAACATTAAACACAATGCAAAGCAAAGCACATCTAAAGTGCGAAGCATCTCAGTACTCCGAACTCACGCTGAACTAACAACTACAACAATTGAGAAAGTGATACTGTCTTATATAGTTTACAGCTTGCTGTGGAGATATTTCTAGTACTATCTCATTCTCGACCTTATCTTACGAATATGGTTACAGTTACGCACAGCATCAATTACAGTTATCAAATTACAATTGTAAGGATCTTAAGTTTTACTAACGTTTATTTTATTTTAAATCTTTACTATCACTTCTTATTTTCTACTTCCGGCCAGAATTAAAAGCGTTAACTTATTTATGCAAAATTTGTCTGGCGAACGCCAAGTACTTAAGTTGTGGCTTTTTGCCAAGCGAGAGAGAAGAAGGAGTTAGTCGAAGCAGGCCGCTTACCTTAGAAGGTTTTACTCAGTTGCTGGTTGCCTTCCAGGCCAGAGGTTTAACCCTCTTGATAATTTTAAACGTATTGTAGTGTTAACAGTTCTCTGTACTACATACGGCTTCCTGTTACTATAAGGCCAATCTTCCACGTTTATTATTCCAAATTTAAGTTAGAGTTTAGTTATATTTTTTTATATTCTTACGTTCAGACCACAAGTAGTTGGTCTCTGTATTCCGAAGTACGGAAATTATTGTAAAGAGTGAAAAATAAAGGGTTTTGTATATCCTTCCTGTGTATCTTGTCTACTTCCCATAGTTATTGAACATAGCTTTAGTAAGCTCCCTGTTCCGAGTCAGGCCCTTGCATGTTCCCAAAGAAAGTAAGACGGAACATTGAGCCTGATACAATATTCGTTACAGTTATACAGGGACTGCACTCGAATGTCGCCAAATGGTCAACTTTGGCGACTTTTATCGATTTCTCGCCAAATTTTGCAACAAAAATTAGTTATTAAAGTCGTTGCCAGCTTGGCGATATGTCGCCAAATGAACGAGATAGCCGTTTACTCAATGTTAAATAGACTTACCCTGTATTCTTATTTTTCCTTCAGAGCATTGCTTCTGTCAGCTTCTCATGTTACATTATACAGAAAAATACAACAATTTCACATATAATTGCATGAAAATTATCTACCTTTGTATAAAATTAGTAGCATTTCACCCTTCCCAAGGACTGGACGTTCCGGACAGTGCTATCGCTAGACAGGATACTAAGGGGGGGGAATCAGTGCAATACTAACACTGTAATTTCAATAAAAAACAAATTAAATGCTAAACCAATAAACAAGTGTATACATTTACAAATTTATATACAAATATAAGCATCGTCTTCGTATAATATTTACATTACATGCACGATGAAGATTACGTACTATGGCCATTGTAAGGGGCTAGGCCGTCGTAATGAACGACTTAGGGCTTCGAATTTGATGGATCCAAACTACGACGGATCCATCAACTTCTGCGGATCTTATTTTATATAAAAGCTAAATTTCCTACCCCAAAGGCAGCGAAATGTCTTCAAATCATTTAACGGTAGGCAGCGGAATTTTCATTACGAATTTTCATTAGGGTTCGCCACACAGCAGTTCGCTCATGGAACACAGATATATTCAGCAAATAATATATAACTCATCTATTTCAAACGAATAACTATTGCCTTACATTTATTTTGGCAAACGCAGGGTAATTTGCTTGTCTTCTTGGTGATGAAGAACTTCCTTCTTTCTGACCCCCCGCCCCCATTATGTCGACGTGCCCTAATGACTCATTTTTATTTGAAACCGTTCTTCTAAGACAGCATTAGTTTTTCTGTTTTGCTTGATCTTTCGCAGAATAAATCTCCGATTCCTTCGCATTAGTTTGGAATGCGGCTCAGACAGGAGGACATTTCCAACAGTTCCACGCAATTTTCATCGTTTCATTTCGCAATTTCATCACTTATGGTGAGATATTTTACATCAAAGAATTTTTTGGGTCATTTTGAACAACTTTACCATCTTAAAAATGGCGCATTAAGTTACTTTCGATGTCAACTTCTAAATTTTCAGCGTCTTGCTATGTTTACTTTAAATATGGAACTTTTAACACAATATACTAAATAAGTAATAATTTCTAAATGCAAACGATAATCCTTGTGATGGCTTTTCATTTAAACAAACGAGAAACTGCACTCATTAAAATATCTCGACAAGTTTAGAGCGTCCGGATTATTACATTAGTTTATATGGTATTTCTCCCACCTTCTTAGCGTGCCTTCGTGGTGTAGTGGTTCTGCACGCTAGGCCAGAGGTCCGTGGTTCGATTTCCGGTGAATGCGCTTGCTTATTTTTCATCTTGCCTGCTTCCAAAGATATCAAATGTCTCTACAGTGGCGCCCGAACTAAAAGGTTGTTGGATGATGATTCTCCTCACCCAGTATTTGGCGACTGGGTCCCCTAAATACCACCCAGTCGCCCTTTAAAAGGTATTTCTCCTGCCTTCCTAGCGTGCCTTCGTGTTGTAGTGGTTCTGTACGCTGGGCCGGTATTTCAGAGGTCCGTGGCTCGATTCTCGGCGAAAACATTGCGCATTTTTCATGTCTCCGGCCTCCAAAACAAATCCTAATGTCTCTACAAGTTACTAACTAATACATTTTGAATAAATTATTTTAACGAAAGAATATTTTGATCAAATTTATTTTGCGACAAAGGAAGCTTGAATAGTAAATTAGAAAAATATTTGGAGTCTATATTGCAATGTTTAGTACGAAATCTGTGAAAATAATTTTTAAAAATACAGTTGTCGGAAAGAAAATGTGAGCCACTGTTATTTACAAAACAACAGCGTAGAACGATGCTGTTGTTGTTGCTCAAAACGTAGAAACATTTGCTCAGAAAAAAGAACAGAAAAAGATAGCCTCGAGGGAAAATAATGAAGTTGTAGAGAAATTAGAATATTTTTTGAATTTGAAAATCAGGAAAGATGAAAAATGAGCAACCGCCGGGAATCGAACCACCGACCTCTGTAATATGCGTCCAGTGTGCAGACCACCACACCACGAAGGCATGCCAAGAGAAGGCGGGAGAAATATCTTATACACTCCCCGCTTTTAAAGGGCGACTGGTGTTTTAGGGAACCCAGTCGCCAAATCCTGGGTGTGGAGAATCATCATCCAACACCCTTTTAGTTCAGGCGCCACTGTAGAGACATTAGGTATTTTTTGGAAGCAAGAAAAATTGAAAAAGTAGCAAAGCCTTCACCGGGAATCAAACCGCGGAACTCTGCGCCCAGCGTGCAGACCACCACAGCACGAAGGCGTGCCAGGAAGGCGGGAGAAATACACCTTATAAAGTAATAATAATATAGGTAATTATTTTACAATAACGCATTATTTTGGGCTGAAATAAATCAGATCCACTCATGCAGTTGTTATGCTTTTTTTAAGTATGGCATAAAATTTTTAGCTTTATGCGCCTGAATAATTCTTTTTGTATTTTAAATAGCTGCTGGCCGAGGTATTGTTTTATGGCATCAATGCTTGCCGTGTCTTGAGAACAATTTACAATAAAATCCGACTACCAACAAGAAATTCTCTTCGAAAAGAGAGGGAAGAGCACACAAAATTGACAATTTGGAGGAAGCTAATACACGAATTTTCTTTCCCGGATCGCGCAATTGACCCTTTTAAGAACTCTTTCGCATAGAAGACATCTCGGGAAAGAAAAAGGAATTGACATGTCCCCTTTCTTGCGGTCAGTAACTCGTTCTTATCACTCCAGTCGGTGATACGCACTTCTCGCCGTATGAGACTGAAATTATTTCATTTTGTGGTGAATACTTTTTTGCAAAAGAAAAAGTTAATTCCCTTTTCTCGTAAAACGAATGGGAGTTTTCTAGTTACGATTTCAAAGATCTTCATTTCTGTGCTTTGAAGAAAGTCACTTCTCCCTCGGATTACTGAAAACCCTCCAACAGAAGCAAAATATTTGCCGTTTTAGCGGCTATCTGGAAGGGATGCCTTCGTGGAGGACTTTCTAAGGGAAAAGGGACTTGCAAAAGCGGCC